GTAGTATGACTTCGCTGGCAGTGTGACCTCGCTGGCAGTGTGTCATCGCTGGCAATGTGACCTTGCTGGTACTGCGACATCGCTGGCAGTGTGTCATCGCTGGCAATGTGACCTTGCTGGCACTGCGACATCGCTGGCAGTGTGACCTTGCTAGCACGGCGCCGGTTCTACACTCCTGACTTCTGCTGCGAGTAGAGAGGACTCATAAAGCTCCTTTCTTGGATAGAGAAGACTTAGGAAAGGAGAAAGAATTCATCTTCTAGTTAGGAATGTCTTGGGAGAATCATATAACATATGTATGTTAATGCGATTTCGTGTCTATGCGCTGCGCTTTCATAACTTTGGATTTCAACGTTGAGCGGGTAAAATCCGACCCAAACATTGCACTTAGAGGTGTTTGGTTATGGTGCTAGGGTCGCTAATGGGATAAATAGGAGTGGTATACTGGTTATTTTGAGAGACATGAATTTCTGTCATGCTATTTTAAAGAATTAGTTAGCATAACAAAAATTGGAAAACTAGTTAGGTGAATGACAAAAGGTGTTGAGATTCTTTAGTAAAACAATAGGGTGTTTGCTAAGATTTTCGTTAGTTTGCCAATTTACTTGAAAATCTTTGTTGTGTATGTTAAATTAATTTTGACGTGTATAATCATTTCAACAGGTTTAATAATCATTTCAACAGATTTAAACTCGCATATCATGCTAGTCCCAATATAATATAGTAATAGTTTTAATACTATTTTATCTACAATTTTTTTTTATCTTACAACGCATTATCTCATGAATTCTTTAACAAAATAAATAAAAAGGAAAAAACTATAGTACATAGTCTTCATTTACTTTTTAATGAAGACGATAAAAAGATTTAATGATCTATTATCTTCTACATTATATTAGATTTTGTTATGTTTTTAATCAAAATCAAGTTGTGTATCTATGTGCATAATATCTATCAATTAATGTGCATGGTACTACTTTTCTTCTTCTTATCTGTTAATATTTTTTGATAAACAGAAGTGTGGATTAACTTTATAATCAATAATTTTCATTGTTTATGTTAATTTTCAATAATCTGAAAACTTTATAATTAAACAAATAACAAAATTGTCTCATTTGGTCAAATAATAGCTATCAAATTTATGATATTTGATTAGGTTTTTAGATATATTCTTTTTTTTTGTTTTGTTATCGATGCTAATTACCTTGTATGTGTTTAGGGTTTTGACTCCAGAAATTTATGTATTTTGCCAACTTTGTTTTCGAAAATATTTCTTTTGTTTATTTGTGGTCTTCTGTAAATTTTCAAGTTTGACCACAAAAAAAAGATTATGTAATGATAAGATTGGGGAAAAAGGAATAAAATATAGAGAAGTAAACTAAAAGAGAAATAGAAGATAACTTATCTCCTTCTCCTCGATTTCCGGCGATTATCCCTCTCTTCTCCGGCGTATCGACTCTTTCCGACAAGGTATCAGCTCAGTACCTGTTCATGTTACCGAATCTAGCTTCCACATTACAGTAGCATGAATTCGTTTCGTTTTCCCTTACAAATTCAAAATATCACCATTGATTATATCTTACGATTTGAATTTCCCTCTGAGATCTAACGACGACGGAAAAAAATTCCGACGAATCTTATACTCTGAATCGAAAACATAACACTATTGTTATGTAATTTGATTTTTTTTGTCCCAATTGTTTGTTGTTGTTATTTACTCGATCTGCTGCTTCTTCGATAACCATTGATTGATCTCGTTCTATTGTAGTAATCGGGATCTAATTTGTTGCATCGAGTTGATCGCTATGACGTATAAACCCTAATTTCTCGAGGAGCACAATTTTGCACAACCAGGAGATGTGTAGGCAAAATTGTCGTGCGAAATCCTCACCGGAGGAGGTGGTTTCAGCTGATCAGAATCTCTTGGTTTACAGTAAACCAGTTCGACTATACAACGTTCTTCACCTTCGCTCTCGAACTAACGTATGCATTATTGCCTTTGTTTTCTCTGTAATCAGTTTTTAAGCTCAGATTACAGTTTTGGTTCTAGTCTGTCTCGTGACGAGTGTGTGCTTCTTTTGTGATTTGTTCTTTGTTTATATGCAGCCATCGTTTCTTCCGAGAACATTGAGCTACGCAATTCGAGCAAATGGCAAAAGAAAGTATGAGTTTTTCTTTGTAGATGTAGTTGCTACAGTGATGTTTTATTTATTTTTCATCGATCTAATACGGAAACTGATGGCATTTATATCTATGATTAGAGTATATGGATATGTTTCTGTATTTAGAGCTGTGATTCTATGTTTGATAGATGAGTGGTTTCTTCTCGGCTCGTGCTATAAAGACTTACGTTTGTCAGTTGTGTTTTTGGTTAGGTCAAGAAATACTGGCATGGTAGTTTTCAACTATAAGGATTGTAATGATACAATACAGAAAACTGAAGGTGAGTCTTTTCTGTTCTTTAACAATTTGATGTCTCTCTC